TGTCTGTTGGTCTGTCTGCCTATCTCTTTCTTTCTGACAGTAGTCCTCCTGTCATTTCCCAGGGTTTCTTCTGGGGAATATAAGCAAATAAGCACTAAAACCTTCTCCTCAGCTCAAGGGAAATGTGATCAAGTGACAGTTATTTCTAGAGACACACTGATGCTGTACTTCACCAGTACCCCATCACAACCTCCAGCATTCTCGCATCAAATTATAAACCCCATATTTTAGATTTATATTACCGTATGTTAATTAAATTATGTTCCCACATGATAAATGCCTTGATCATTTTCCCTCCTGTGAGTAGCTCTAATGCAAAAAAAAAAAAAAAATACATGAAGTATTAATAGTTACTTCTTTGCTATTACAATCAGTTCTGTTCAGCAAGTGCAAATGGTGCATGAGAAGGCTGAAACAGTTAACACACTGCAAGTTATAACTGCAATATATGGGAGCTATCAGGGGATAGAACAGTGATCAAACTGTAGGGTTGGTGGTTTGATTCCTGGTTTCTCCAATTAACATGTTGAAGTTTGCAAAGTGTAAATTGTAAAGTGCTTTGAGTACTATATAAGACCATCTGGTCTTGGTCTTATACTTATAGAACAGTTTTCTGTGCAATGAGGCACACTCCATTCACTCATTCACACACACAAACATTCACACACTTACACACTGATGGCATAGCCACCATGTGCAACTTTGGGTTCACTGTCTTGCCCAAGGACACTTTGACATATGAACTTGAGTACCTAGGATTTGAACCACCAACCCTCTGGTTAGGCTCTGCCTCCTGAGCCACAGCCACCCCTTATTCTATTATGGAAAATAAATTGTCTAACAGAGTTTTTCCCCAAAAAGCTCAAGAAACCCCTAAAAAAAAGGCCTGAAAACAAATCTGGTCTTTGTCTTTCATTGCGAACTCCAAAATGTAGGAATATTCAAATATGCAAATTAACCCAGACATCATACATACTTCCCACAGGTAGACTGGTGAAATCACAGTACGTAAATGGAGGAAAGAAAATATTGGATAGATTCAGCCATTATGTTTGAGCCACATTCAGACCAAGATACTCTGATAAGGAGTATGTTGTTCCTGACTGGAAGACAAAATTAATCAGAATGGATCTCCCTCAAGAATGGCTGGATGTACAGTATAAGCTACATTGGTAATTCATACCCCTACGATTACTGTATAAATAATTCATACAATGCATATAGGGTTTTAATTATGTACTTTATCATAGTGCAATTGTGTAGTGGGTGGTATTAGCCCAATGCTTGTATAGCCTAAAATCAAATATTATGTTTTTAGAGAAACTAATGCACCTTATCTGCATGAGGTCAGCAATTAGACCAATAGCCACTGGAACAAGTTACCAGATATGGGATTTCAAACCTAACTTTTCTCTTCAAGACTTTAATTTCATCCTTTTTCCAGGCACTGTGCAAATGGAGGCTGCTGTGTCCTTTGCAGAAGATTTAAACCATTTAAGTGCACCCAGATGTCTGTGACCTCAGTCAGCTATGTTGTTCTTCCTACAAAATGGCCCACTTCCATCCCACTTTTTGGGACTGTTTCAGTGCCTTTTAATCAGCCACATTCCAGCTTGAGGCATTCGATTGCAATGTGCAAGGGAGCCTAATTTTATAGGTTAATGAGTGAGTTAGGGTGGTCCTATATTTAACACGGAGAGTGGAAACCACATTAAAAGGCCGTTGGCTGTCCCTGAGCTCTTTCCCCTGGGGACCAAATGGCCCTTTTAATACAAAACTGCTTCACTCTGGCCTCAAAACACACTGTGCACTGAATGTGTCCCTGACTCATCAATCACTGTCACAGTCCTTACTTATCACTGCCATTATGTGTGTTGGTACTTGTCAAAATATTAACACTTAGAGCCAGAGCTGAGATGTAACTATTAATGCAGCCTTTTTCTTATTTAAACTAATTTCACTGTTCCCCTAATGCATTTATGCATGTGGTGAAAGCCCCACAATCCTTCAGCACAGCAGAATGTTCATGGTTAGGTAATAGTGAGCTAGTTTTTATATGTGGCATAATGACCAAATGTGTTATTAAAAACTAAATTCTTAAATATTGTTATGGCTTCTGTTATACACAATAGCTTCAATCCAAGGGAAGGTATAAGATATTTGAAAGGACTTGGGTTCAATAAGTGGATTTGGAAGTGGGTTCAAATTTGATCGAATGCTATCAAAACCCATCCCTCATAACGAGTTATTCTTGCTGATGCATAAACATGTAAGAAGCATTTTTATACTCTAACTAGACATGTTTGTATTGATTTTAACAACCTTATATTATTTAGTAACTTAGTCCCCATCATATTGTATAAACCGTGCTTCATCTGAAAAATCTTAACGTGAAAAGTAGCAAAGCTGAGACATAAGCATAATGGGGCAAATATTACAATATCTCCTTGTGAAATGTAGTGCAGTATAAATATGAAGTAGTAGAAAAATAGAGTTAATTAAGTACAAGTCCCCCCAAATAAGTAACATCTTGGTTGTGAGGAAAATTATGAACAACACTTGAAATGCAACAATTTGAGTCAGTTGGAGGCTGCTACTAAATATATGAAAACAAGTTGTTGAACTGCTTTTGAAAATTATCAAAACTGTATATAAAACCAGCCATACTGTTTCAACTACTATTTGCGGCCCCCTAGTGGTAATATAAAAAAAAAACTGTGAGCAAATTTAACATCTCACTTTGTGCTATGCAGGGAGTAAATGCAATTAACTCGGTATGGTACAGTGCAATTACAGTGCATGCTTCTCAGGTGAGCATGTGAGGGTGGTACTCCATGTGTCAGCTTGGGTGTTGCTACACATTTCCCATGTTGATGGCAGACTCCTCAGATTTTTCCAGTCAGCTGGTGCTCATTTAATTTAATCTGGAGGAAGCCCATGAGCAGGTCACAGTCATCCCTCACAATTAGCCCAAGGTATATTTCCTTTCTTCTTCCCTTGGGTGTTTGGTTCCTTCCACTTGTTGATATATGTTGTCTAAAAGTGTGTGTGTGTGTGTGTGTGTGCATGACCACCTGTGATGTAAATAGAATTAATGTAAAAATACATGAATATTTGCTAGATCAGCTCCATTTGTTAAAGCAATCAGAGGAGCTGGAAAGTGTTATGACACATAGTAACCAATCAAACCTCATGTGTTCTCTCTGTCTCATTTTATTCTCAGTTCGTGTAACCACCACCACCCACCTACACCCACACAAACACACACATGGGTGTATACACAAGTGTTTGACATTGGCAATATTATACTTGAAGACCTACTGGCTACATTTATTCCTAAACCAGAGCAGCTCTTTGGTTTATTTTTACAGTTGAGGGGTTCCTATTGTTTCTTTCTGCCTCTGAAACTGAAACTGTGCTAATATTCTACAAAAAGTAGAACACTCTTATTCATAGGCAGCAGCCAAAATGAAAAACTTGTTGGTTCAAGCAGATGTTGTAACCAGAAACTCTAGATGGATTATGAAACTCTGTTTAAGAGATAATGGGCTGTGCATGGTGTTCACATCTTCGCTGTTTCATCTTCAGTCAGAGCAGCCATTTCAGTGTTTCTCCCACACTCCAGGTGTATCATCTTTGTAGGTTAAAGGTCATCACTTGGTAGATTGGAGTTTTAGTTAACATTGCCTGGTCACAGTGATACTCTGACAGCAAAATAAATATACTGTTTTAAAGGAATTTTGTGGCATCTTTTGAATTTATTGCACAGTTGACCATACATGTATGACAAGAAACAAGGAAGGACAGAGATGGAGAAAGAAGTGAAACAATGGGACACTGGTTAGCACATTAACCTCTAAAGCACTGTCACTGATTCTGCCAGCTGATGAGTTCTGCCTCTGAAATATCTGAAAAATCGTAACTTTCAGTGGTTTCATTTCAGCACCTCGGACAGCAGCCCCGAGGGTCAATGTTCAGGAAAAGTAAACAATCAGGGGAGACAAGTCGAGCAATGACTGATGGCTGAGAAATAGTTTTCAGGGCGATGTATAATCTGCTTTTGGCTTTAGAGGAACGCACACTTAATAATTCTGTAAGTTCCATGATGACATACCTCCTACAGTAATTTTTTTCCTTTTCGTGTATTACAACGATGCACTTGTCAAGGCATTACCAGAGGTGCTTTTTTTTTTATCATGACATCACTGGTGAGAGCTGTTCATCCGTGAGAGCAAAACAGGTGGGAAAGACGGGGATAGTTCTCACTCTCTCTACTTGTGAGATCATAAATCTTTCACGATGGCGACGCTGCATATAGTTGCCCTTTTGATTTCACCATCTAAGCCCTTAAATAAGATGTGTTTGCGTGTGTGTCACGTGCTACTGTTTTGTGTGTTGTATACTATTTTACTACGATAACTTGATTAACACGTTTATTTCTCTAACACTGTTCGATCTCTCGCCTCACTTTCCGCTGCCCACCCTCCTTGTTTGTTCATCTTCACGTTAACGCATCCAGTCGTCACTTTGGACATCAATTATAGGCTACTTGAGGTTTCAGTTTGGATACCCAGCCATCATTTCTCTGTGCGTAATTAATAAAGTTATGCAGATATTCCATTTCCAATGTTAAAATTTACCATGGCACACCCAAATTCGTTCTATGAGTGAACATAAGATGTAACCAAAGGTACCGAGCACTGCTGTACCCCGGGAAAACGAGGGTCTCAAATAGCCTGTTTATGAGCAGTCTATTTAAAAATTTCCTGTCTGTGAACAATGACCTTGTTTAAAAAGAAACCTTCTGGACTCGCCTTGTGTGTGTGTGTGTCTGTGTCTACAGGATGGGGCAGAGGGAGGCAGGCACGCCCAAGAGATGTTGTTGAATGACGCCCGTCTGTCGCTTTGTGTGTATATCGGTGTGTCCTGCGATTGGTGGAGGACAGTGAAGGTACCCTGCGCTGGCGCGCCATGGGCGGGTGGAAGGCTTGTTTATAAACCCAGTGGGCGGGATCAGCAGTAGTTGGGAGTGAAAGCGAAGCGCAGGAAGAGAGAAAGACGGTGAAGCAGCCGAGGCTGTGGCGGCGACTGTGGTTGACCGGGGTACGCGGAGGGGGCGAGGCGGCCGCCCCTGTATGCGTCTTCAGCCGCGCATGGACGACCACCTCAGCCTCCTGCAGTCACCCCCGCCGAGCGTAACCAGAACCCGGGGCGACAACCTGGTGAACCACGGATACACCGAGACAGAGACCGACGTGATGACGGTCGTGGCGTGTGACAATATGCTAGAAGAGTCGGCGGCTCTCCCGGGCCACCACTCTCTGGACCGCTATGAACCGGATCACGAATGCTGCGAGAGGGTGGTCATCAACATCTCAGGATTACGCTTCGAGACGCAGCTTAAAACGCTCTCCCAGTTTCCAGAGACGCTGCTGGGGGACCCTAAGAAAAGGATGAGGTACTTTGATCCTCTCAGGAATGAGTACTTTTTCGATCGGAACCGACCCAGCTTCGATGCCATTCTGTATTACTACCAGTCTGGCGGGCGCATAAGGAGACCTGTTAATGTGCCCATTGACATTTTTTCTGAGGAGATCCGCTTCTATGAGCTGGGTGAGGAGGCTATGGAGAAGTTCAGGGAGGATGAGGGCTTCATAAAGGAGGAGGAGCGGCCACTACCAGAAAATGAATTTCAAAGACAGGTGTGGCTGCTGTTTGAATATCCGGAGAGTTCGGGTCCCGCCCGGGGAATAGCGATTGTGTCTGTTCTGGTCATTCTCATCTCCATTGTCATCTTCTGCTTAGAGACACTGCCAGAGTTCAAGGACGAAAATAGGGATTTGATCGCTATTGCGCCTGTGATAAATAGCACATTCCCATATTTCATCAGCCCCTTCTCAGACCCGTTCTTTGTTGTGGAGACATTGTGTATCATCTGGTTCTCCTTCGAGCTGCTGGTGCGCTTCTTTGTATGTCCAAGTAAAGCCACGTTCTCCAAAAACATTATGAACATTATAGACATTGTGGCCATCATTCCCTATTTCATCACCCTGGGCACAGAGTTAGCAGAAAGGCAAGGAAATGGACAGCAGGCCATGTCATTAGCCATTTTGCGCGTAATTAGGCTTGTTCGGGTATTTCGCATCTTCAAACTCTCGCGTCACTCCAAAGGGCTTCAGATTTTAGGACAAACTCTGAAAGCCAGTATGCGTGAACTAGGTTTGCTAATTTTCTTCTTGTTCATCGGTGTCATTCTCTTCTCCAGTGCTGTCTACTTTGCTGAGGCAGATGACCCAGAATCGGGTTTCAGCAGCATCCCGGACGCGTTCTGGTGGGCTGTCGTCACCATGACCACCGTGGGCTATGGGGACATGCATCCCGTGACAATCGGGGGGAAGATTGTGGGATCTTTGTGCGCAATTGCTGGTGTGCTGACCATTGCCCTGCCAGTACCTGTCATCGTTTCCAATTTCAACTATTTCTACCACAGAGAGACGGAGGGTGAGGAGCAGGCACAGTATCTGCACGTGGGCAGCTGTCAGCCTCTGGCAGACACAGAGGAGCTGAGGAAAACTCGCTCTTCTTCCTCGCTTAGTAAGAGTGAATATATGGTGATAGAGGAGCACGGGATGAACAGCGCATTTAAACAGCAGCCCAACTTCCCCACTACCACGCAGAACAATTCGCAAAATTGTGTGAATATAAACAAAAAGATTTTCACGGACGTGTAGCCAGGTTTAGAATCATGGCTCCGAACACCCGGGGATGATGTGTCAACACACATCTGGTCCTGTTGTTATAAACCAGCGTGTCAAAGCAGCTGAAGATGAAGAAACAAAGGAATATAATCGAAAGAATAAATAAAACAAAGAAACGAAAGAAGCAGCAAGGCAGCTCTTCTCAGAGACGCTGCTTTATGCTCCATTCAAAGAATCCGGATTTTTCATTTCAGCTATCTGAATTCTGTATGATTCCATTGAGGCTTGAAGAGAACGAACTAAATCATCAAGCCTGTACTATTCTTCTCTGAGGGAGGGAATTGACATGTTGTGCTTTGAGCACTAGCCAATATATTATAGTAACATTTAGAAATAGAAGTTTTAAACTGTGAATGATGATTGAAAATGTATGCTACTCGAATGACACACGTTGTATTAACATGCGTTATGAGTCGTGATTCGTCAGTCATAGCCTATGTATAATGTACAAAATCATTTAAATGTATGTGTGCGTTTAAACACACGGAATGTCTGAAAACACAATTCAGATTATATTATCTCAATTAGACCGTTCTGTGTTATGCCTTTATTGTGCGTCAAAGTCTAGTCCAAATGCTACTGTCTTCAAAATATTCCCCTGTAATTCCTTAATATGAGCTATCGTGGTAGGCTATTTAACGCTTAAAAGGCACCATGTAAACACAGCGACCAGCCAACTTTCAGTGTATCATCATCGGTGCAAGACACACGTGAGAGAAGAGAAACACAGCGCACGTTCACATGCACGCATACAACGATCAAAGATGGAGCGTGCTTCTCTTTGGATGCCTCAAATATAGCCCGCTGCGATGCAGTCTCCATGGCGATGGTCGTTTCCCCGGTAACCCCAGTCATCGTTGCCATGGCACCCTTGTTTCCACAGTAACCTCCCAGATGGCTTGGAAGCTATTTTGAAGATTCTCATGTCTTCAGTCTCAGAAAAGACTGTTTTGTCATCACGCTTTGCGTGCGTAAGATACAAGCCTATACAAGCTCCAGCGCCACTAACCAGACTGCCAAGCTCACTCAGTGACTTTAACAAGGACACACAAAGAAACTGGAGTAAGGAGGTCTGAACTGGCCCCTACAAGTGAATCAGACACAAGAGGACACTAAGGCGGGAGAAAGGAAAGGAGAGACAAGGCGTGAGGATTTATGAATGGACTGGGACTGGGAGCACATCCTGTCTGGATGACCTGGGTGCGCTACTGCGGGCTCTCGGCAGGGGCTGCTGTTCTCCCGCTAATGAAATTGGTAAGTTCTGAGCAATGTCATGACCGTGTCGCCTTGTGAGTTAAGGGTTTGCCCATAGTCATGAAAGCAATGTTTTGACTGTTTGTAGATTTGCACGAGTGTTTTATAGCCTTGTCAATTCAGACAGGACAGTTCAACCTAGAGAATGACCCTCAAGAGAAAGAGACCCTATTGATATAACATCATCTCCCCTCACAGGATCAGGTCTAACAGTTCCTTACGATTCTCATGTTCGTTTTATAGTTAATATCAGAACATTTTAGTTATATGTTTTATTAAAGCTATACGATATTACTATGTGTCACTAGATGTCTAACAACGTCAGCCTGAATGAAGGCTTTCCTTCTGGGCGCTATGCTCCTGCAGTTTGCTTGGTTTGTTTTTCACCTTCATCTGACTGTCTATGGAATAAAAAGGGAACATTTCCACCCGCCCTGTCTCTCTGCTGCTCCCTGGTGGCCACCACTTCCTGCTAACAGAACCAGTGGCTCATACCTGTCGTGTGCCGTCCTTCTTCTTTACCATTGCTATCACAGAGATACAGAGGTCATGTGCCATGAGATCACATTAGCAAAAAGAGAGCTGCTGGCTGGTGGTGTTCTTGTATAAAATTTTGTACCATTTGATATCAGGACATGTATGATAAATACATGCCATGTTTTTCTGTTCTGTATTGTTTTATTTGCTAAAACAGTAAATTATCATTTGCATCGCACTTATAATAAATAGTTTGCATTGTGGACTTCTGTGAATTGGGCTGTAAAGGTTATTGAAAATTTGGTTGGCTCTATCTTCTTCTCCTGTACCACATTCCTGTCTTTAAAATTGCTCTACTAATATTACTGCATTTCCAGAATTTATGTTCAGTGATCTCCCTGACTGACTCTAACTGAAACAGAGATTAGAGTGACCGAGAACATTGTTTTTTTTTTTAAAAGGCAGGTTGGGGAATCTATCAAACCATCATGCTCTGAATTTTTAGTGTGGCTGTGTGTCCACTTGCATGTGCACTTATGAGCATGTGTGTGGTAGTAGACTAATAATATGTATACCTCTCCAGTCATGGCTGAGAGATAATTAGGGTAGTTTCATTTGCAGGCAAACCTTAAAGACAAAGTGGGAGGTCCCACAGAATGACCTCTTCGTTGATTATTCCTTTCCATTTTGACCCCTGGCTTCATATTTTTCTCTGTGAAAAGCAGTTGGCAGGCCCATTTCTCAAGTTACACAAAAACCCCACTGAGGAGAAACACAGGGCACATCTATTAATTGTTACAAGATGGTCTCTTTTATCTAAAAGTTGCCTGCTCCTCCCCTCCCCTCTTCTTCTGAGCTGACAATGTTTACAGTTTGATTTTTGCATGAGTGGTAATGAGACAGCAGGGAGACGAGGGGCAGTCTTGCGTTATTAATAAGACCACTGAGCTTTGTGGTGGATATGGTACACTGAGTGGCTCTAACAAATTTGTTTTTTCTTTCCTACTCCCTCCTTCCCTCCCTCCCGCCCCCTCTTTCTCTCTTTCTCAGGTAAAAATATTTCAGTTTTTTTGCTCAGACCTCCTGGAACCCTCAGTGACCCCAGTCAGACTGCCTCACATTTAGGTAAACAGTCTCTGTTTGATAAGTAGAGTAAATAGTGAATATTGAACATTGATGAACATTCACTGATAATGTACATATACATTTTAAAGCTGTATAGATTATCTGTTAACCTGCAGTAACCATTTTTCCCTGTAGGGATGCAATGAATGGTCTTCCTGTTGAGCCAAATGGGCCAAAGTTAAGAGCTGAGACAGAACTCCCACTGGATCAATATTTCTTTCCCTTCTCCTGAATGGTGTCCTCAAACCTGGACTTTGAACAAGTGGTGCCTAGCACTCTTCTCTCTCCAGTGGACCACCACTCAACCCATGTGAAGAGTTGAAAGGAGTGCAGATCAAAGCAAAAAAAAAAAAGAAGAAGAAGAAGAAGCACATTTATTGCACAATACATGTACAGTTTTGTAGCTGCAGTTTTAGGACTGCTTCTGTTGTGGAGTTAACACACTGTGAGTGGAACCATCACAGGATCAAAAGTGACTCAGACAATAACTGTGTTACAGACTGTGACATGCCTCCATACTGCTTTATATATATATAAAATAAATCAAAAGAACAGATTCTGTAAAACAGCCAGCAATCTTGCAAAGCACATTTCATTCCTGGAAATCACAAAGATTTCAACATTCTCTATTTATGTTTGTGGGAACCGATACTCATTCTGGACAATGACTGACAAACAGCTTTTGCTAAGTCAAAATTGGCAAAACCATGATTTGCTGATATGAAACTGTGATACAAATCAAAGACTGTTAGCCATATACCTTTGTTAGCTCTGTGTGCTATGTATTGCTGATATGTGAAACACAACTCATATGTACATGCGCTGGCTGCTGCTAATCCCCTGATCTACACGTGTGAACAAAGAATACACATGCTCATACAAACACACACGTACACATTCTTGTGAATGGCTTTCTTTTATCCCATAGGTCACTGGTGTTTTTTTAATTTTTTTATTTTGGGATGGGTCAAAATGTTGTCAGGGGAAGCTGTGTATGCCAGTATTTGTTATGTGTTGTCAAGTGCTGTCTTAAACATGACCCATATCCAGAGATTATGAGATGTCCTGTCTTTATTTGACAGGAGCTGTGGCCTGCTTACACTGAATTACTGAAAGAATGGTCCAGTTATGGTCCAGTTATAGCAATTATTACCTATTCTGTGTACATTCGCATTATATTTCAATCATGTCAAATGTAAACAGAGAGAGTTGTTTGTGTATAGTTAACTCACTTCTCTCATTCACTCCAGTACAGTGCTTTAACAGTATACAGTATACATGTGATTCCATGCATGATAAAAACATCTTGCTCTAATTTTCTGAGCTAATCAGAGCATTACTGTAATATCTATAAATATACTGCTGACATACAGGAAATGTCATTGTTTAATAAATGTTTCCCATGCAGAGCTTTACGGAGTGACAGTCTTTTAGTTGTTAACAACAGCGCATGGCTCGCAGGCATTTAGATGTCTGGCTACAGAAATACATACTCATACAACAAAAGTCTACTGTAATTGTGCTCAAGAGACAGAACAAGGCAACTGTTTTATAACATGATGGCCAGGCCAGTCCTTTATGAGAGAATACTGTGTCTATTTGTTAGTGAAATAGAAGGACTATACTGTATTGAAAATAAAAGACACTATGCAACATCAGAGACACCCGAGATTTCTATTTGGCTTAAAAAGGAGAAGGTGATTCCCAGTTTCAGTGCATTATTTCATGTTGCCACATGTTTGGCTGCTCCCTCAGCTGCATGGCTCGACCGTAAAAAGTACTTAACTGTACAAGGCAGTGGAAAGCTTCATAACATCTCTGAGGCGAGGAGGTAAATATTAACATTCTCATACAGGTTTTCAGCCATCACACTGTCACAGTGTGTATATGAGCAAGTGTGCTTTATTGTTCCAGTAACCCCACCAGCCCATTAATACAGTAACTCTGCCATCCACCATTTGTACTGTGGGGCCACAAACTGCCTTTGTGTGTGGCATACTGGAAATTAGTTGATGTAATTCTACGTTGTAGACTAAATACTTCCAGTGTGTATGAGCAGAACACAGTTATGGACAAATCTCTGTACTGTTTTTGACTGATTGCCTGACATAGTTTTTCATCTCTGGTATTAATATGACAGTAAATACTACTGCTTACTACTGCCTCTGATATCACCATCATACCTGTGATGTCATCAGTGCTCGCCACCAGCCATAGTGCTACAGAAAGCTCCATAGCAACAAAGCCGGGTGTTTGGCCATATAAAGCAGACAGCCCTCTGCAGGTGCACTGAAGTAATCAGTGTCAAGTGTTGCAGTAGTAAGTGTTGCAGAGTGCACAACTTCTGAGAAGGACGAGGTTTGGCAGTGCGTCATGTTGTGTGTCTCCATGTGTTTATGTATGTGTGTGCTTGTCTCTCTGGCATAGGATCAATATACTGCCCCACTACCATAGAGGGACTCCATTTGAATATAAGAAATAAGTGGAGCTAAGGGGGCCAGCTGTGGCTCAGGAGGTAGCACGGGTCGTCTCCTAACCGGAAGATTAGCGGTTTGATTCCTGGCTTGCCCAATCCACATGTCGAAGTGTCCTTGAGCAAGACACTGAACCCCCAGTTGCTCCCGGTGATGACACCAGTGCATGAATGTGTGAGTGCGAATGGATGAATGGCCAAATAGCATGAAAGCACTTTGAATGTGCCACAATGCATAGAAAAGCGCTATACAGCTATAAGACCATTGCCATTTACCAAGATAATGGCAACGCTGTCCATTCATCAGAATGTATGCATGTGCTATTTGGCAGGTAGTGTACAGTGGGTGTTCTGAAAACAAATGCCTGCTGCAGCTAAAAACAAAATCCAAAATACTAAAGCTGTGGCCAAAAGAGCTAAATAACGAGATGAAACTGGCCAGAAAGCTCCATATATTTGGGCAGCAAAGCTTAGATTCAGGTGTTTCAGGTCAGGTAACTCTATAGATTCTTCACCATGACTGACCCCTTTCACATAGTCTTATTGTTTTCACATTGTGATTAGATACATTTTTATTATTAAAATATCAGTTATAGCCATTTTTTCTTTTTCTTTGTTTGTCTTTTGTTACAACTAATGATGTTATGGTAGAGGGTGCTGAATGCTGCACAGAATGCTGCACTGGTTGTAAAACCATCAGAAAAAATATTTTGATTTTAGAGTATGTATAAATACGACTGATCCTTAAACATTCAAAATATATTAACCTTATAAGCTCACTAATTATTCCCTAGCACACAATAAAGACATAAGGCAGATAGGGTACAAGATAAGGAAGAACTTTTTAATACTTTTTTATCCTTCATACCTGCCACCTACAGTACACTATATGTGGCTCACATTTCCTTAGTGACTTTCACTTGTGTGGTAGTTACGTGCTCAGTAACATCACTGGCAGTGCAGGGAAGGACGGATGTTAAGGATGATGATGCTGTTGCTAGTGCTTCCACAAAAATGTGATTATTTCTGGTTGCTGATTGGCTAATCGTTTTCCATTTCCAGCCACAAGTGCAAGAGACAAGGTGGGACTTCCTCTCCAGACATATGTGCTATATACAAACACACAACATAACTATTTACACATACACACACTCATAGATGCACATAGGCACACACATTTGAAACAATATCATCAGCATATTCAGACCCAGATGTTGGGATGTGATTTTTCTCACTGCTGGCAAGGGTGACCTGCTGCCAGCTGTCTCAGGTTTTGTTGTCAAAACAGACAGATGGTGGAGAGGGTGATAATATACAACGAGGAGTGAGGGAGAAATGCTGTTGTACTCTAATGGATGACTCATCACTTTGTGACTGTGACCTTTATTTGCTACGCTCTCCATCTCTATTGTTACATCCCTCCCCTTCTTTTTTATTTTCTGCATACCTCTAACTACTTTCCCTGCCAACCCAGTGACGCACTGTCTTCTCTGTGGCAAATGTCTGCTCTTCCTGATGTCATTTTGACCTCATCCTCCCTTTTATTTCCTCATGTTCCTCCTCTGGTCATCTCACCGTCATTGATCTAAGTTCAGGCTCATATACAGTGCATTAACTGTGGATTTGATTGCCCTGACTAGACAGGCAACACTTAACTGCTGTCTGCAATGTGGGAAGACACATTTGCTGGAGGAGTTCTTAGTGTCACTGCACATTCAGTGGATATTTCAAGTTCAGGCTGCCAAGCCTCTTCGTAAATACAATTTCTGCATATTCAGCCTTGTATACAATGCCAACTTGTGCAGTAGAGGTATCACACTTTACACTCTAAGCCATACGTCTTGATCACGTAGATCACTGATTTTCTGAGACTGAGAAAACATGAGACAGTTAAACCATGTCCAGAATCAATACGAGACTAGGCCTACTTTACTCTGAAGGTAAGGTTATATCTCATCATGAAATCAGTGATCACCTTCAATTTGGCTGGTCTCAACAGGCAAGTAGAACTTTCAAGGTCAATTTCTAATTGTAGTGGGATCCCAGAAGGATGCAAGCAGGGAGAGAGGGCAGTGAGGGGAGAAACTCGGGGGGTTTGTACACAAACTGGATAGGTTGAAGGGGCAAAAGAAGTTGATGTTCTAATTAGGTTTGCTGGCTAGTTGTCAAAGAGGAGAATGCCTAGACTGCTATTTTGGTGACTACATGTGAGAATTAAATAGGAATCCAATGAATTTCATGTGTTCACAGTATGAAAGATTGTTATTCCATAAGGAGCTTTCATTTAATTTCATTTGTAACAGAGGCAAAGCAGCCATGTTGCATATTAGCGAATTTATTATTACTAATGTCACTATGTCCATGTGTGCACATTTGTTTATGAACAATATACTGTAAGTGTGAGTGTGTGTGTTTGTGTATTAAACTTATCTGTATAAATGTGGTTGTGTATGTGTATAGTTTCTTGTTTTTGATCTATAAAAAAATGTGGAGTCAGTATGTGGATTTTAGTGTGTGTGACTGTTCCGGTGGTACATACACACACATGCCAGTACAGCAGGTCCTTATCTTTGTGTGTGTGAGTGTATTGTAGCCTGTAAAGGACTGATCACCTACTGCAGCACCCGCAGAGGTTATCCAGGACAGAGCTCCTCCCCTGCAGGCTACTGTCAGAAGTTGGATCGACGCCCTCTTCTCTCCTTTATCCCGTCTCTTCTCACTCTCCTACTCCCTCTCTTACTTCCACATTTTCCGCTGCAAAGAAAAGGGTGGGGATTTTAGATTGCACAGGTCTGCTGACTCACACATGGATACACAAATATGGAGTTCATCTCAAAATATATCTTAGATAGTAGCAAAATGCTCAAAAGCGAATGTATTCTCTGTGTAAATTAATTGAATATGCTTGTATCATGAAAGTAATGGATTTTTATGGCATTCTGGGCACTCCCTGCACTCCCCTGTTATCCCAGTCATCATTATTCCATCTACAGCATCATCTGTTTTGTTAGCCATGGCTCAAACAAAATTAGCTATAGGACCTCTGCCCAGCCGTTATGGTGCACCAAGAAGTCACAGTCAAAAAATGCCAAATTTAATTTATAAAGCTGCAACACTGTTTCTGCAGCCATGTGGGGTCATAAGTTGAAATGCATTATTAAGTTTCTCTGTGAGGTTCCATTTGGTCTGCTCAGATGAGCACAAAACAGAATCAATGGTCCTATTCTGCTGAGGCTTGGCACAACCTGAAGGTGAAAGGGAGCTGAAGATAGAACTGAGGATCAAAAATGGTTGGAGCGTTAATGGCCCTCAAAACTCTGGGTCAGCTGTGGGCTTGTAATATAAAACTATTTATATTGTTTAGTATAGGTAAGTGTTTTTCAAAGTCTGACACTGTAGACCTCCTCTCGGACAAAATCGAGCCACGTGCTGTCTCAACCTAACACCATCCTTTTATATTAAAAAGAAAACTATATATTAATAAAGTCCGCCACTCGTTATTATTACTGTGTTGTTATTTTTGTCTTACTTTGGTCTGGTATGATTAAGATGTGGAAGTACAGTTTACATAATGCTGTGAGGGATGTAAACAAGAACAAAACAAGAACAATGCTGATATGAATTCATTGATATTTGTGTCACTGAATTAACTTGACACACACAAAAAAGCATACTGTATGGGATTCCTGAGATACTGGGGAATCTGGGCAATAATTAGTTATAGGTTACAGTATGCAGATAGGTAAATGATCACACCTTCATCATTGATTTTACTAACTGTACCTGAGCCTGACTCACGTACTCACACAGCTCAGACCATAATCTTGGAAGACATATAGTTTTACAGACAAACATTCCAAAAAATATGAACAGATTATTGCAATACACAGACTTTTCTTGTCAGCCTTTTAATCATGTACAAACACTTGACAAGCACCCGAAACCATAAAATATAGGAAAATAATCACTCACTAGCTCAAACAGAACTTTGGCATTTTGCCATAAATGGCTTGCCAGTTCTTCATTCCCTTAATTCAATGCAGTACAGAATAAAAATTTCCTTGCTGTCCCTATATTTCATCCTTCCAGATAAAATAAAACACAATTTTTTTCTGTTTTTTTTTTTTTTGTTGGGTGTGCATGTACCTGCTGCATTTTGTGAGGCATATCACCAGAGGTAAGCTGTGAAATCTGCAACATTTTTGAAAATGATATTCCTAATCCTGTTGTCATTTTCTGTCTCTAAATGTGGAAATATTTCGTCCTAAGATTAACATATTTTGTAGAAAACCGTCTCCATCCCGCTTCCCGCTCAAGAAGCTCTTAGTATGCACAGCGTTGCCTAACTGCAACCCACGCATCTCAACTATGGTGAATTATGGTGAAATCTGAGAGACATGGGAAGAGCCGGCAGCTCAAAACCAGTTGGTCGTGATGAGATGACACATCCGCTGGATAGAATAGAGAAATAAAGGAAGAAAGACAAATATGAAGGAATGGACTCACGCGCTCAAGACACCTTTTAAGAGGAGACAAACTGGATAGAAATACATGCGTCTCCGCACCAAGAGAATCAGGGTGAATTCCTGCATGCCATTATCTGAAATAATGCTATAGACCAACAGATAATGCTATGCTGCTTTGTCTAGTGCATGGAGTCTATTGTTCCTGTCCGCACAGGAGTGGACTGCAAATGGCTTGAGCATGTTTGGCACCTGCTACTCCAAACTAACTCCCTCCTGCTTGCCCATCAACTACAGTACAACACTGACTTTTGATGTTTAAATATCCCCGTGCATGACCTTGGCTGCTTTCGCTCAAATTTATGGGGAAATGGTGTTTCGCCCATTTATAACGTAAACAGAGGACTGCGTTATCCAAAATAATAGGTTGTGAACATAAGCCTCCATTTATTAGTAATGTTACTCAGTGGCTTATTTATACGGATATTCCCATCAGTGGAACTTACATGGAATGAAAACAGGGAGAGAAAAAAACATTTGAATCTGCATAAACACACATGTGCAAAAACCTGCGGGCAGAATACGGAGCAATATGGGGATCAAACAGGTGATCCTGTAACATGAAATCTGCATGGGTGCTTCCGAACACTGACAGCTGCGCCTCCAGCACCCTCCGTCCCCAGTCTCTGCAGATATCAGGGCAAAGGATTACCTTTTCTGGTGTTGTTGTTGTTGTTGCTGTTGTCTGCGGCGGCATAATGTTTTGAAATGGGGGCGTCAAATTTCGCTAATGCTGAAATCAGCGAAAAAAACATAGCACCCATCATCGCCTCCTCCCTGCCTCCCTGCCTCCCTCCCCACGCTTTCCTCAACCTGTAGCCTACAGTCTCACAACATGTACTGATGGAGGTAACGTCTGTGTTCTCACGCCTCGTCCCCACTCCCACTGCCGCAGAGCAGCAGGGTGGCGTTGTTTGCCGGGGGAAGAAGGGCCGCCTACCCAAAGGGGGGGGGGGGGGCTGATTTTGACACTTCTGCTAGGCCCATTACACATTACCAGGACATTCTGTAAACAAGCCTTACAAGTGCCAGTGTCAACATTTTTGCTCTGCATTTACTAAGAAAATTACCCATCTTTAAAATAAAATAGCCTGACCTGAATACCCAGTATGGCTACCATTTATCTTCATACACAGGTAAAAGCTTTACACTGGCCTGTAAAATTTTAAGATTGTAAAGATTGTAGTGTAGGCTTACTGATCAAAAAGCTCTACAGTAATGCAGTGGGCTGTGTCACCCACTGGCTATGACAAGTCCCCCTAACTATAATTTACAGATAAACTATTCATTTGATCAATGGGTTGATGAAGTTTTTCTCAGCTTTGGGAGGGAAAAGTTTGATCACATCACACACACACAGAGAGGAAATTCATCTCAGATACTGTATGGTGTACTCAGCATATAATCAAATTTGCTGGCTGTAATTGCACCCTGTGAGAGTTGATACAGTATTACTGGCTAGCATATTGATCCCGCAGTATGCTCATATAAGAGACAACTCAGCCTAATACACACAGACAAAATGGAGCCCTCAAATGCTTTTACCCCTGCCTGCCTGTTATTTTCAACTGCCCTGCTCATTCTGCTCTTTCTGTTTGCAAGCAGGTCTTCAAATAACACAGGTTTCTGGGAATTACAGATGATTTTAGTCTGTGAAATATTTAACAAAAGCGATGGGTCAGAAATATAGGAGAGTTAATACAAGTTGTTGGATATGCATACTCAAAATGTGAATGTATGAGTTTTCTTATCAGTGCATACAAAACATTAAGCACATGGTAATCACATTAATATTGCAGTCTTTCTCTGTTTTCTATCCCATCCTGTAGCTCCTCACTGGCAGATCTGCCTGCACCTGAATCCACAACTGTGTGGAGTCTTTATCACCTTGTGGCCTGACGTGGCCCCACCCTGTCTGAAAGCTGCAGGTCCCATCTCCTTCCAGCATGACGGTTGCTACCAGCGACCCCACAGATGAAGCAGCAGCACATCCGTGTCAGCCTCATGACCAGTATGACCCAGAGCCTGATCATGAGTGCTGTGAGAGGGTCGTCATCAACATCTCAGGGTTGCGCTTTGAGACGCAGCTCAAGACCCTCTCCCAGTTTCCAGAGACGCTGCTGGGTGATCCTAAGAAAAGGATGCGATATTTTGATCCTCTCCGGAATGAATATTTTTTTGACCGGAATCGACCAAGCTTTGATGCTATTCTATATTATTACCAGTCAGGAGGGAGGCTGCGCCGGCCTGTTAATGTGACCTTGGACATTTTTTCTGAGGAGATCCGGTTTTACGAATTAGGTGAGGAGGCAATGGAAATATTCAGGGAGGATGAAGGGTTTATAAAGGAAGAGGAGCGGCCTCTGCCAGAAAATGAATTTCAGAGACAAGTGTGGCTGCTGTTTGAATATCCAGAGAGCTCAGGTCCTGCTCGCATCATTGCCATCATCTCTGTCATGGTGATTCTTATCTCTATCGTCAGCTTCTGTCTGGAGACACTGCCAGATTTCCGAAATGAAGATGAGGAGATTTACAGTCCTCAATTCCAGTCCTTCTCCAATGCCACCTTTACCTCTTACAGTTCAACATATTTTACAGATCCTTTCTTTATTTTGGAGACCCTCTGCATCATCTGGTTCTCTTTTGAGTTCCTAGTAAGGTTCTTTGCCTGTCCCAGTAAAGCTGGATTTTTTGGCAACATCATGAACATCATTGATATTGTGGCAATCATCCCCTACTTCATCACATTGGGCACAGAGCTAGCAGAGAGGCCAGAGGACAGCCAGGCGGGCCAGCAGGCTATGTCTTTAGCTATTCTTAGAGTCATTCGTCTAGTCAGGGTGTTTCGTATCTTCAAACTCTCACGTCATTCCAAGGGGCTCCAGATTTTGGGACAGACTCTAAAGGCCAGTATGCGTGAGCTGGGCCTCCTCATCTTCTTTCTGTTTATTGGTGTGATTCTCTTCTCCAGTGCTGTTTACTTCGCAGAAGCGGATGAGAAACAGACTCAGTTCAGGAGCATCCCTGAGGCCTTCTGGTGGGCTGTTGTTTCCATGACCACTGTAGGCTATGGAGACATGTACCCAACAACCATTGGAGGAAAGATTGTGGGCTCTCTCTGTGCAATTGCCGGTGTGCTGACTATTGCCCTGCCTGTACCAGTCATCGTTTCAAACTTCAACTATTTCTACCACAGAGAGACAGAGGGAGAGGAACAGGCACAGTATCTGAATATCCCAAGTGTGCCTAAAGCCAGCTCAGCTGACGATCTGAAGAAAAGTGGTCGAAGTGGCAGTGGATCAACTCTCAGTAAATCTGACTATGTGGAGATCCAGGAGGCTGTGAACCACAGTACTGAGGACTTCAGGCCAGAGGGCATGAAAACAAGAAATTGCACCCTGGCCAACACTAACTACGTAAATATTACTAAGATGCGCACAGATGTATAATGTGAGTTACTGTAGATGGTTAATTTCATCTGGGCTTTCCCAGGATTATAAGTGGAGAATGAAGGCATAACTCTCGATATTGATCAAGCTATCGCGCCAAGTATGGGAGTCCAGAGCAGATGAGAGATTAACTTGGAGAAAAGGTCAGTAGAGAGGACCTCATATTCTCCCACATCCTTTGGACCTATAAGCACATATCATAGAACTGCCATTTGTCTTATTTATGATGTTGTCAGTATCTGCATGGAGTTAGTCTTACTTATTTGACAGTAGTCATCCTGCTCGCAACAGTAGCCAAATAGTAGCCTAACCAGTAATAATCAGTATTAACAGTGTAAAGGGACCATAAATTTCTACCTTTTTTGCTCAAGCTTCTGTCAAGAGAAGATGCATGATAACAATAATCTAGATAACATATTAACTTGTGGTTAAAGGTAGGCCATACTATCAGCATTTGTGAGCAACTTTCATCTGCTGCTCTAACTGCCAAGGTCCTGACTCAGAGAAAAACAAAATCACCTATATCAGGGCTGTTTCATCAGGGGAAAACAGAGAAAAGGAGAGATGCTAATATGCCTTTGGCCAATTAGTCATCTTTTGCTTTCTCTGTGAAAGAAAAAGCCTGACTGCACTAGCATTCCTCTCTTGGCCCTCACTGGATGTTGTCTAATACAAGCTACTGTAAATCTGTGTAAATCTGGACCACAAGAGTAGACGACCTTCTTTATCCTGCCATTTTTCTTCTGTCCTTCAAGTGGATTTACACTCGCCAAGACCCTGCCTTTCTCCAACCATTGCAGGCAAGCAGGTGGAGCAAAGAAATATATATTTGAACAGAGTGGATGTCTTTATTGATACATGTTCATTTGATTTGTTGTTTTGCTTTTAGGTAATCTGATGAATGTATGCTTTTCACCTACATTTTGTGGTTAAAAACCTAATGTAGAAAGACAGATTATCAATATTTTTTCTGTAGTGTTCTGAGTGAGTGCCTTTCTCTCCATCCTCTTAGGCTAACTAAACCTTTAAATGTCAGTTTAGCTGCCACTCCGGTCCACTGTAACAGATGTATAGTGAGTACTATTTAGTTTGACACCACTGCCTAGCATAAATGTTGCTGTTCTTAACTTCATATCATTCCATGTTAGTAGAAATATATCAAATGAATTTAAGAGCAAACTAGGATGATGTGTCTCTTTGTTGCTTCTGTGAGAAGCTAATCTCAGTGTGATGTAAGGTTCATGATAGAAAAGTTAACTAGTTTTATGCAAAATCCATTGAGACTTTTAGGGTATTAAACCAAAATGTTTAAAATTATACATTTCTAAATGGGGGCAGCCAAACATAAAACTCTGTAATCAACTAAAATTAATCTACAGCATGAGAACTTTTAAGGCCCGTTTGTTGTCGGACCAGCAATGCCAGTATAATTCAGTCTTGCTGGTTAAGAGGCAAGAAGCAATGACATAATTTATGATATCCATAAGCTAGCTAGCTCAATTATCTGGTCACCAAAGACAAAATACATACTGTACAATGGGTTGTAAAATAACTTTTTTTACCCATTTATTTTAAACAGTCATTCCATTGCTGACTTTTGCCCACATCAAGCAGGACCTAGGATGTGTGTCCTTCATAAGCTTTCTAATCAAACAGATGCTGTTATAGCATTGCATGTCCACTGAAGTATTTATTGTAGCATGCATTAGTATGAATAATACATACTTAAAAGGTACATTTGCTTAACTATATCCCTATAACTCTAGAGATACAAGCATTATGTACAATGGATAAAATATGTCTTGGGTTAGAAGTATGTGTCATGCTTTGCATATGCATTTTCCTTCCCTTTGAATTTAAAATTTTGTTGGGTTGCAATCCATGTGACGTATTAACCCAGAGAGGGTCGTGTGTCTATGAGAAGATTTCAATTATAATGTAAGGAGGATTGAGAAAGTAACAGTACATGAAACATGAGAGGAAACACAAAACATATTAGAGTTTTACAAAAAACAGTAAATTGGAATGTGAATTCAAAGCCACACTGACTCCAGAACAGGGATTGCTAAACCCAGGTTTCCCAGTCCAGAGTTAACTAATGTCCCACAGCCTCAGCTTTACTGCCTTTAAAATCTGTTGCAGTTACAACCCAGTAACTGTCTCATGGTGACAGCACAACAGCAGCTACTCTCCGCTGCCAACCCTCAGAGATTCATACAATTGACCAGTCACACTTTATGCTCAGCAAAGTGCATCATACTGCTCTAAAGGACTGTCTAAGTACCCAGATATATACTGTAGGTCCACGAAGCAGAGTGTGTAGTGTATAGTGTTGCCTGTGCATGTGTGTGGGTGAAAGAGAACGAGAAAGAGAAATTGTGAGGAAAAAAGAGAGTATTTAGATACACACAAACACACTAATGTGCAGCTAATCCTGTAGAAACAACATGAAAGCATTTATTTATAACACTGCTCTTCTTCACTCCAGGCCAGAACAACTATGGTGCTTAGTATATTCTCTTCCATCTTAGCAGACAGTTGTATATTCAAGACATACATATAGAATATTAAACTCAGAAAACTGAAAGGAAAGTCCTACCACACTCACTAGAGAGGAGAGCACGTGTTGACTTATGAGGTAAGCTGCAGTATCAGGTAGAGCTGGGAACTGAAGAGAGGAAATAGAAGGAAAGAGAGGGAAAGAATGGGGAGAAAAATATGATAATGAAAGTAATATAAACACTGTCTACACCTTTCTTTGCTTTTTACTCTGATGTGTGTTTGTATTTTTCTACACCGCTTTTGTGTACTGGAATCCCTATATGAATTTATATGCTTGAAGGCTCTCTCTTTTCCTCTCATGTTATAAAGCCCACAGTTGAAGTGACATTGTCTGTCAAGACAGAAACACTGTCCTGGGGGAGACCAACAGGATCTGAACCAAGGAAAACACTATCATTGCTGTACTTCACAAAACAAACCACAGGACACTTAAAACACAATGGACATTTCATAGCTTTCAGCCAGTGTACACAAATGTGTACACACACTGCCTGTGAACAGTTACCTTTTTGCTGATGTCTGTTGTGAGAACAAACACGGAACTGTGGTTTTGTTAAACTTCAATGCCACACATTGAATGGAATTAAACCCACTGTAGGTGGTGAACGCACGTAGCCATGTAAACAATATATCTAACAGTAACAGCTGCTTATAATGATGTCTTAAAATGCCTAAAGCTTCAGCTTATGAAACAAGCTTCTGCCATGTACAGATTCCTGTGTAGCAGGGAATCGTGTCTATACTTGCTGAACTACTCCAAGAAACTAAAGTTGTACAATAGATTCATTATCTCTTAGGTTTAGTAAACTCCCGGGACCAAGTAAAGGATGGAAGCAAAGAAAAAAAAAAACAAAAAAAAAAAAAAAAAAAAAAAGAACAAAAGGGAAATATAATTTATATAATATAATAACTTTAACTTATTTGTGTCAGCAGACACTGTGTAATTGATCTGTTGTTTGTTTTTTGTTAACAATTTTTTTATTTGACAGTTATTATAGAGTGCCGTAGGAATTACTTTTTTTGTAGGCCAACCAGGAAGTTAGCATCTCCTTGGTTCCCTTGACAAAAAGCCAATGGGATTTTTCCATAGGCTTTTGGATTATTGTGGAAAATAAGCTTTGTGACAAACAACAATTTCTGACACTTATACGTTTACGATAATCTTCACAAATGAACACAACTTTTGTGATTTTTAAAACCCAAATACAATGGTCAGAAGTAAAAAGCTATTGTTAGACTATAAAGGGGGTGGCTGTGGCTCACGAGGTAGGGCACGTTGTTGGTGGTTCAACTCCCGGACTCCCCCGTATGGCTAAGTGTCCCTGAGCAAGACACTGAACCCTAAATTGCTCCTGGTGGCTTGACTAGCGCCGTTGTGTGGCAGCCTTGTTGTCATTGGTGTGTGAATGTGTGTGTGAATGGGTGAATGGTGTATGATCTCCTGTAAAGCGTTTTGGCCAGTGCAACACACTGTGAAAAATGCGCTATATAAATACATTCCATTTATAAACAAACTACACCATGATCCTATGACTTCAAGGTGGATCCAGGGTGTGGCCGGAGGTGGCATCCAAAGTTAGCTAAAGAAGGCACCATGTGTCTGGATTTTACACAAAATAAACAGTTTGATTTTTGACTTACCTCTTCTACAAAATCCTTAGCACAACCTGATCTAGCTAGTGATCTTGGCTGTGTCACTTAGAATAGTTTGCAAGTGCGCATGTTTAAACATAACAAGGCTGCAAAGGTGGGCTAGTGAGTAAATGTTCAGCATGGTGATGGTTAATATCCCTGACAGCCTCTGTAGTTGCATTTTGCCACTTGTTAGCAACTGCTTTTTTTTGAAAACATAACTAACTGGGGGTCATATTTGGGGTTTTGATATCGACCCTTAGGTCCCTATATGGATGGATTATGTAAAGACCTCCAGAGGGTTAGGTCATAGAACATAATATGAAAATATATTGGCCTTGTGTTAACTACAGACCTTATTTCAGGCATCTAACCACAACCACACTCATAAAACTTGTTGACTCTGGAGCAAGGGAACCTGGATTTGCAAAGATGCTAACTCAGCTCTGGGTTTTAGGACTTACTACTACGGCACTCTATTATTGGCTGATCTTTGAACCTCATGCAGTGCAGGGGATGAGGTTTGACACATAATAAACATGCAAACTTTCATGAAATAGAATCTGTCTGCACTGTCTAATACATGCTTGCCTCCGGACAGACAAAAATGTATTTGTATGCGTGCAGATGATCCTCAGCTCTTTCACTGTATTATATTCTCATGGTGGGCTACACTCAACTATGTATGTATAAAACCTGTTTTTTCTACCTTTGTAAGAAAGCGACTGAAACAACCATTGTTACACCCAAAGGAAATTTGCATCTGAATGCTTGCTATGCTTCTCACAAGGACATCAAATTAATATACAATTATTAATAGAGAATATCTAGAATTAGATATTTTATCATTCAAAATAATTGTAAATTATGAATAATAATGGTCTTAATAATTATATCAATAATAACATCTTTATGTTCAGTTTCTGTTGTGTCTTGTGTTCTCATGTGATGTAATGTGTTTCATAAAGGACCTTTTTTGAAGACTGAGGCAGAAACAAACATGTTCAAATCTAATAGTGGATTTACTGTAAATCAGTTTGTCTCATAATGATGCTTATATTGTCATTCAAACCCAAACCAGCTGTTTGGGCCAATGATTTTTAACTATGTACAACTCTCGCAACTTACCGTATGTCCTATGTTAAAACACAGCCATCACTCAAGCATACACTGTGTATCAAAGTTCATTTGCCTTTGGTGCTTTTAAAGCAACAAAATAAAGCCATGAGAAAGAAAAACTAAAAGTTTCACATACGGTGTGCAGTAAATTGTCGAATGTACCAGTGGAGCATCCGCTCTTATGTCCATTACAGAAGGTATATTTGAATTGACTATTGATCCTTGCCTCCTGAATGGTTTTGTGTCCCACTTATCCCTTAAGTGAATCTTATGCTCTCAGTGGTTTACTAAGAAACTAAAGTGGTCTATTTATAAAACCAGCGAGGGGAAAGTGAGGCAGAAAGAGTGAGGAAGACAGGAGAACAAAACGTTCTTGACTCCTGGTTCAACATATAGTGGGACAAGTATAAACATTCAGTCGATGTGCCGTAGCTGGCAATGTTTGTGCCTCCTCTTGTTGTCCTTGTCCTTCTGCCCTCATTCCTTCTGCTTCAGTTTGTTTTTGCTTCCCCTCTCTATTATTTGTAGGTCTTTTATTTCACTTTCATTTTTTCTTGTGTTCATCTCACTCCATCTCTACCTCTTCAACAGCTGAAAGCACCAAAGTAATGCCCAGTGGGTGATCGGATTCTGCTCCCAGACATATATTAGCAGTATAATGCTCCCTCTGGCCATCTCAGTTGACTGTCAGCTAAGCACAACTAGGCAGCCTTCCAAATAACTGATGGGTATTGAACTACTGAATACGTCTTGATTAGCTACTGCATGTATTAAAAGTGAGTTTTGCTCACATTCTCTTTTAGCCAGCCAAAGAGACATGATTCCGGCTGTATCACACATCTGCATTTTATCCCATCTTACAATGTGTGTAAGATTTTTCACAGCTCTTGCCCTGCCTTACACTTTTACTTTGTAAGCAATGATTATTAAATCATTTAAAAGTGGCCACAGGAAAATAATATAAAATACAATAAAATTCCTCTATTAAGCCGAGCAGACACTATACAGATTAGGCCTGATTTTAGACCCAATTCAGTCGCGCCCAACTACTTTTAGAATTGTAGGGTTCCAGATGACCCGAATGGCCAACAATCTGTCTCCCGACCACTTGGATTGGTTTCTGGTATGTCAGATATCTGGTCAACTGTGTTGCAGATCCACGATCTGAAGTTAGTTCAGTGCACTTGAATGAGTACAAAGATAACGATATAACAAGATGGCACAGACGAGATATCACATTTTGCAGATGGAATCGTCCTGTGTGCTCAAATTGAGCACTGTAGTGGACGTTGAACTTAGTTTAAACATTTGTTACTGTATGTAGCTGTACGGAATAGTATTTATTTTTTGAAACTTAACATAGTGTATATTTCTATGATTGATAATGAGCGTGATCTTGCAAAATGACGCATTTACACAAAATTCAACACCACATGATGACAACTTCACATTATCTATACATTTTCTTGCCTGCTTTCTCCCATAGTGCCTGTCATTATGATGGATAGTACAGTAAGTGCACTTGTGTTAGTATGTTGTACGTGGCAGTAGCCATTAGACAAGTGAATGGCTCACATGCTATGAACTGATTTATAACCTAGTATACAGCACCGTTAATGGCCTGTCAACCTGAACTTTCTTTATAGCACACCAGATTCCATAGGGGCAGCCTGTGTACATACTGTGTACACATCTGTATGTGTGTGTGGAGGATGGGAAGCCCTTTTTTATCACTCCTCTCCTAACAGTGGAAGCCCCCTTCATTTATCTCCTTTATTAATAGCAGTAGGTTTCATTTCTGGATTCCTCAGTTGTGATGTAAATAATTAAACAGCCAGAGGACTGTGTTTATTGTAACTATATGAGTGGAGGAGATATTTTGTTTGATTAGTTTTTGTTCAACACATCAGGTAAAGGTTAAATTAAGGTTATTTTTGAAGAATGCAATGAGGAAAAAAATCACAAAGGTTCAAGAAAATTTTATCAGATGCATGGATGATGTATGGTTGAAACTGGGAGTAAATAAAGAGCTGCACATTATCTAAGCTGCTCTCCTTAATATATCTTTATTTACACACTACTGCAAAAATTTTCAATATTAGCTTAGCTTGCAAGATTGCATTTATTAAAAAAAAAAACAGCTCTTTACAGTGAGGTGCATTTAAGAACAAGCTGATGTCCACCATTTAAAATTATATTTTTTAAAAGTGTTCACCTAAAAGTTTAGATTTAAAAATAGAGTGAGGAATTCATTCCGAGCTTTGTTAAGGCGGAAGTGTTGCACTGAATTGCCTACAGTTGTACAGGTGTCTTTATTGCATCTAATTTCTGTAGTTGACTTGTTGCCCAGTAGTTAAAACAGCATAAATAGATTCATAAGACATAATATTTGATGAAGGAGGCATTCCTTATACACAGAAAAGAAAAGTACTACTATTTTCAGCCATGCTGTTTCTTTACTGCACCCCAGGTGTCTTTATCTCGGCTAGGAACAAAATTACGCATGTGGAAGCAAAACAAACACAAGGCTTTAGGTAGGATGCTCAGAGGCATAACAAGCAAGTCAGCATAGCTTAGCCTAACAAGCACTGCAGTGACCTTCAGAGAAGCAACATGCATCACATGCATGATAAAATAAAGGAGTAAAGGAATAGTTACAAGATGTGCCCCATGGTCTCATTGTTTCATACAGTAAACATTACTGCATAATAGGAGGCAACCAGCAAAATTCCTATCCAGAGTTTACCACTGGGTATCGGAGCGTGAGAGAAAAATGCACCAGATAAATGACATCAATTAAAACAAGCAAAAAAAACTAAAATTTTTGTTTTTGTTTTATTAAAGGTTTAACAGTTCTGAGAAATTCAGTGTGTCTGGACAGACAAACACCATGATGTCTGGTAACTTTGCTGCTTTTCATGGATGTCCTGAACTGACTTAAGCCTTGGACTTAAAATGACACATGTACATCTTTTTTTTTTTTTTTTGCAATTTATTCATTTAAACTACTGTATTTTTGAGGGATCTGAACTGAAATAGACCTCACAGCAGGAGCCTTCATTAATCAGCTCAGTGTGGATTTCTACTGGCTATGTAGACAGATGGAGGACTTCCTCTAAAGTTCACTGCTGTGGCTAGTTTGTTATTCAGGTCTGTCTTTATAAACCTCCTGAGTTTAGCAAGTAACTCTGATCTTGTTACTGTTGACTTGTCTGCCCCCTAGTGTGCAAGAGGACAAGTGACAATGTCATGTCAAAGGCATAGTGAACTAGGGTGTTTTCTCTCTACAGTGCAGCGTGCTATATGAAACTTTAACTTTGTGTATCTCTGTTTGTTAAAAAGAAATCAACCAAATTATTTAACTTGCTTTTTATTCACTCTGTGCATTTCTTAGTGTTTACAATATGTATAGTGCAGCCCCAAAATATGAAGCTCCCATTTTACATGGCAGATAAATAATCACCCCTTTATTTTTCTGTGAGGAGGGTTTTCCAAAAATAACATGATCCTATGAGTTTTTATAGATCACTCCAGCAGGAAGAAAGAATATGAAAGACACATGGGCCTATTTCTTACTGTTTTCAAGACAGTTTCAGTACTAATCATGGTATAAAGAAGCCCTGCAACAGAAATCAGAACTGTTAAAAACAAAATGAACAGCCCACCAAAAAAATCTCAGTTTCATATGCAAAAATAAGCCCATTCGCAGAAGGGCAGAGAAATAATCTCCTCAGATGTTAAAATAATAAACATCAAGCTGATAAACATCAAGAACTTGTGTGAGACCATGTGGAGAGGCACTTTTGCATGTGTAGACACCACAGTGAGGAAGAGTCAAATGATATCCACTTCTCCTCTTCTCTGTGCCTTCACCCAATCACTGCTCAGAGACATGATATGGGGGGCTTAAAATACCCCACCTGCATGAATAATTCATAAACTCAAAAATCATCCCTCCTGGTCTCCATTTCTGTTTCTCCCTTGTTTTTTGGTCCCTTTTGATATTGTCTGTCTTACACTAGGTGGTGTTTACTTTTCTATCTTGCAGTTTCAAAATTATTTTTTCCTACTACAAGAAAGCTGTAAAACACACATTTACAGATGTGGCCTGCCACTGGACACACACACACTTATCAACTTTTGTTTTTGTTCTACATACCTCTTAGTGTATTGATCAAGTACTGTATGCACCAGAAGTGGCTTACATAATGGGGTGGGGATTGAAGAGCATTAGCAGTCAATGGCTTTTTAGCTTCAGGAACTGTATCTCAAAGTCAAAACTACACTTGCTCTCCCTCCATTTGCCCAATCCCCTGTTTTCAAATATTCAAATTTAGCATTTTAACATCCTTTAATACATCTCAAACAGAAAATGCACAAAATAGCTAGAAAATAACCCATGCTATTTACCTTTCACTTGATTCTTCACTCATCACTAATGTGCATCAAGCAGGGAACAGGGGGCTTGAAACCTCCAACAATCAGCCTCTGGATGGAGCTCAATAATAATAACAGGAAGTGCCACACAAAGTACCAAAAAATAAAAATAAAAAAGCTGGAAACTAAATTTGACAGACTTGCGCAAAGTCCTCAACATTCCTTGTCTTTTTTCTCAGCTGCTCTGCCTACCCCTGCTCATTGTGGTCTATTTTTGTGAAACTAATGGGAAAGTAGAACATAAACAAAGCATTGACAGCAACAGCTTTGGGAAGAATGGAAAAAATAGAAGTAAGAGAAGCACAGGAAATCAGGCCATTTGACATACAACCTAGTCTTCCTGGAAAAAGATGACAGTAGTCATTGATATGGATTGAAATGGTGGAAAACAACATAAACAGAATTATCCAAAGCTGTGTAGCCTGGAAAGCTAACAGTGAGATCATTGCTGCTGAATATGTCTGATGCATATCCTGTATAGTATAAAAATTTGAAAGGGTAAGAAAGCATTTCAGAAAAGAAAGATGTGATGTGGTAAATTTCAGATTACAGCCCAAATATGTCTGACTGTAACAGTTAACTGCACTTGAGACAAATATGTACAAAACAGGATTTTGGAAGTCCAACGGGATTTTTGCCCTGTTATTTTCCATGACCTTCTCCCATCTAAACTTGGGAGGATCCAGCCCATACTCAGTGCAGTTATTTCTGTAGACAATGGCAACCACTTGGTTGTGCCGTTCAGTGTATGCTGTTCCTGCCTGCATTTTGCACTCTGCCATTATGTGTTGGACTGTCTCTGAGACCATTTTTCACAGTCTGCACCTAGGGTCCTGAAAGGTAAATACCTCTGTGTGCCACAGGACAATGCCACCAGCAGCCTGCAGAGGGAAGCCTATCCATACTGTAAAGTACTCCCAATGTGACTTTGTACTGATTCATGCTCGGGAACCAGACAGTGATAGCTATTTCTCAGCATAAGGCTTAGCACAGGGGTCAGCCTGCAGAAACATCTGTGCCAGACACATTCGTTTCAACTATAATGCTGACTCCAGAAAAAGCTGCTCCCAATCTTATAAATTGCTTCAGGTGATGTCACTTGAGTCAGCATTGGCATTGAGACTGAAGACTACGAGTCTGAAAATGCAAAAAACCCAGGGGCGTGGTGTTAGAAAGAAATCTGTTGACTAGCCCTTTGTGACCTGCTTCTGGGTCTCACAGCTCAAGGGTACATTAACTGCCATTATTATGACACACCAGAATCTCTGACCAAACTGTCCATGGTTGACAATTGAGGGTAATGTAGGTTCCAAGTTTTGACAGGGAAGAAGAATGCATGGAATAAAGTAGATCATATCTCTTGTTCCCCTGCATCATTCTTGATTTTTAAACTGTCCATCATAAATGTGTGCAGTCTCTTAACCACAAGAGGGTTAAGCACTAAGAGGGAATTTTATAGTAAAAACACAGACTTGGAAGAGAACATACCAACTTGATTTGGCTAAGTCAGACAGCTGAAGCCTCACATATAATAAATGAAACTGAACTTTAAAATGCATTTTATCAAAGCGTATCTTCCCCATTCGCCTACATTGGGATCATTTTAGGAAAGGATCGATATGGTCAGGAGTAACCTCCTTTAACTTCCCCCAGCCCCTCGCTCGCTCGCTGTCGTTTTCTCTTTTTCTCCTTCTCCTCCCCTCGAGTTAAAGCGACATTGCTTTGTTTGGAGAACGAAGAAAAACTGGGATTTTGCAAGCGGGGAATTAGGCAAATTAAACGTAATCATGCTGTTGTTATATCACTCTCACATCTGGCCCCAGAGTGATTGGCCGGGACGCCTCCGCCGTGCATGCTGCAGGTGCGGTCAGCCCGGGTGTGATAGGAAGCGCTTTGTGGTCAGTTGATCCAGTGCGCATTAACGAAACCTCTGGCACGGCCCGGAACTCCAAACTTTCATCGGTAGCGCCAAGTTTGTGGGATCGTAACTGCACTAAAGGTAGGCCACTTTGTTCAACTAAAACAGTCTGTTAGAACAAGTGCTACAGGTTGCTGAGGGATCCTTCTCCGCGACGCCGTTTTTCTTTACGCAGCTGTTGCACAGTAGCGCTGCTCGCGTCTGTCGCCAGAACAGAAAAATCACAGCTTTATTTACGTCTGTTATTTGCTTGTAATCACATCCAGCCTCTTTTAAGAGCATCCTGGCCTTAGTTGCTGCATTAGGTTCCTCTTTTCCATCTCAGTTGCTTTCAGAGTGAGGGAATCTAACACTTCAGTTTGATTTTTTTAGACTGGAAATACGCCTGGAATTGTTTGTGTTTCATGTGTGTATCCCACAGCATATGTTTGATAAGAATTTGAATCTGCAAAGAAGGAAATACAGCTGTTCCAAAAATGTGTGTGAAGTGAAAAGAAGAGTGTTTAACTTTTTAAGTGTACACAATGGAGACCCTCAGGTGAGGAGCTCCACGAATCCTAACCCTGGTCAGAGGAGATAGCATGACTCTGCAGAAGGCTACTGCTACCAATGTGTAGTACATGCCAGAACACTGGAATATACGTAGATAACATAGTGTACTTTTGTATTTATGGTTTCCTCGCATATCCTCTGAGTTTGACTGATGATGCCTGAACTGAGACTCTCCAGCTGTTCCATTCACTCGCTCATTTTCCCCAGAATACCCCAAATCTCTTCTGACTGTCCACCCTTGACCTACATGTGTGTATTTATGATATGAATGCACAGGCCAAAGTGACTTTAAGTACAGTATGTGAAGCAATGGACTTGTTGCTATGACACAAAGGCTTGACAATATGGAGAAAAACCTGTTTACATACCCATTCAGGGGACTCGGCTTTCCTCGCAGGGAACAGAGAGACAACTTGGTTTATAGTTAAGGTGAGGTTACTCTTAGGTTAAGCTTAGACTAAGCCTCCAGGGAATCAGTGTAAGTCATTGTTAAGTCCCCATGAGGAATGTGTGTGCGCATGCATGTACGTCCGTTGCTTGTTTGGATTGCACTTGAGATTAGTGATATGTAATAGAGAGTCAGAACAGATGGCCATATTTTCCCAGTCTGGCTCTGGCACCAAAAGTGTCTAAAATATAATATAATATTTGTGTAAATGAGTAATCCTCACTGTGGAAGAGGAATGTCAGGGTGGGAACAGGGAGGATGGAAGAGGATGACCTGAGGGGATGACCATATGTAATGTGATGGCTATGCCTTGTGACCACATATCCTATTATTATGTGATGATGTGCAATATAAAAACAATAACAACAACAACAACAGAACATCTTAAAGAAGATATTAATTAACATGAAGAGGTACTTATATGGATGTGTAAATAGGAGTATATGAGGTAGTGTAGGTCGTTGCAGGTGGATCAGCCATTAGATATGGTTTAGAGTTGTTCCATTATTTTTTGCAGACCTGACTCAAGACAAAATTCAATGTCAATAGACATCCCCTTCTCAAAGACAAAATACTCACAGTGGGGAAAAATAATCAAGCTTGCACCCCTTTCAGCCACTATTCAGCTACTCTCTCAACCTGGTTCTTAGTGATGGGATCCTAATTCTACAATATATGAACACAACATTTTCTGATAGAGTAAAAACACTTTGGAGGTTTTTGTGTTCCCTGTTTTTTTATGATCTTGCCAGTGTTATTAACATGGCAGTGCTGAGTGGGAAACTGGTGATGTCACATAAAACCTTATGACAACAGGTCAGGTTTTTGGTCACTGTCAGTCAAATTTGGTGAACTCCCACCAGTGGTGTTTTAAGTGTTAAACTCTCAGAATGTCTTTTTTTCCTTTTGATTTCTGCTTATAGGAAGATATAGTGAAAAAATAATTACTTATGAAGACAATTTTCCAGTGTATGACCTGCTATGTTAGAAATTTGATCCTGCCTTTATTGTCTGGAGTACAATAATGCTTTAATGCAGGCTGGCCTCTGGCTGAGTTTCTGCATGTGTGCTGGGTCTATAACTGTTTGATCCAGACAGACCTTTGTCAACCTCTGTACCAGTAATTGAGAAAGAGTTGTCTAGGGTTTTTTTAGACACAGTAACTATACAAAGAGTTGCAGCTGTCATAGGCTTATATATAGTAAATGGCTTTGTATCTCAGGCACAATATATATTTTTGTATTTTTCTAAAACCACATTATAGATGGTTGGTTCTTATTCAATTAGATGAGATGTTTTGTTCATTTCTACTTGTTGCTGATTGAGAGGCAGGTACAGTGAAGGTGAAATATAGTACATGCAGTATTTTAAGAACAGCCCCAAACTTTGTTCCAGGTGGATTGTGAATTTTTTTTTTACAGTGCAAATGAGCCACACAAAGACTACAATAAAATAGGTCTATATTTTTTTGATCTGTTGATATGTTCCCTCAGTTGAGTACATACTGTAAGCCAGTTTATTTGCCTACAGTTTTGGAAGTGTTTAAAGAAGCCCCGCTCCAGTATGTGCTGTTTTTAGATGCTTTACATGACAGTTTTACTTTATTAAGAAGTGATTTTGGCTGTGTTTTGCTTGTGCTGGCACTGCTGTGTGTGTGTGTGTGTGTGTGTGTGTCTTGTGCAAATGCCAAGGGAGGATTTCGGTCCCAGCTGCTGTGCACTGGGACTTGGCCTGGAGCCTGAAGACACACCCATGTCAGCATCACCAGCTTACTTCTTATGAATGCCTTGCATTGGGGTGAGCAATGGGTGAAAAAAATACCTGGATGTTTTCTAGTATTTTGTCATGAAATTTTGTATCAGCTTTGTTTAATTCAGTATATGAGTGTATTTTATAGTTTAATAGCATGAAATGTTAAAATAAGTAAATAAGGTAAAACATGATGTAGTAGGTAGAATAACTAAGTTTACAAAGACATGGTGCTTTCATAGTCATGTAAAAAAAAAAAAAGAAAACCAGCTTTTTTCTTCAGCATGCACTAATTTACACCCTCACATTTTAATAGTGTGTCATATTGTCCAGTTCAACCTTGCTTGATATGTGTGGGTGTGTTCTTGTACTTGCTACATAGTGAGGACCAAAAAAGTTTTCTTATTCCTTTGGCTACAGAGTGAGGACATTTTTGTAAAGTGACCTGGTTTTAGGCTTCAGGTTAGAATTATGTTTGGGTTAGGGTTTGGCATTTAGTACTGATGGGTAAGGTTAGGGTAAAGCGCCAGGGAATGCATTATGTCATTGATTGTCCTCACAAAGATAGAAGTACAAGTTTGTGTGTGTGTATAATTAATCTTTTCAGCGCATACCTGTTATCATTATATACAAAGACGTGCACTCATGCTCACACTCATACGGTAATTGCACTTGAGATTAGTGATATGTAATAGAGAGTCAGAACAGATGGCCATATTTTCCCAGTCTGGCTCTGGCACCAAAAGTGTCTAAAATATAATATAATATTTGTGTAAATGAGTAATCCTCACTGTGGAAGAGGAATGTCAGGGTGGGAACAGGGAGGATGGAAGAGGATGACCTGAGGGGATGACCATATGTAATGTGATGGCTATGCCTTGTGACCACATATCCTATTATTATGTGATGATGTGCAATATAAAAACAATAACAACAACAACAACAGAACATCTTAAAGAAGATATTAATTAACATGAAGAGGTACTTATATGGATGTGTAAATAGGAGTATATGAGGTAGTGTAGGTCGTTGCAGGTGGATCAGCCATTAGATATGGTTTAGAGTTGTTCCATTATTTTTTGCAGACCTGACTCAAGACAAAATTCAATGTCAATAGACATCCCCTTCTCAAAGACAAAATACTCACAGTGGGGAAAAATAATCAAGCTTGCACCCCTTTCAGCCACTATTCAGCTACTCTCTCAACCTGGTTCTTAGTGATGGGATCCTAATTCTACAATATATGAACACAACATTTTCTGATAGAGTAAAAACACTTTGGAGGTTTTTGTGTTCCCTGTTTTTTTATGATCTTGCCAGTGTTATTAACATGGCAGTGCTGAGTGGGAAACTGGTGATGTCACATAAAACCTTATGACAACAGGTCAGGTTTTTGGTCACTGTCAGTCAAATTTGGTGAACTCCCACCAGTGGTGTTTTAAGTGTTAAACTCTCAGAATGTCTTTTTTTCCTTTTGATTTCTGCTTATAGGAAGATATAGTGAAAAAATAATTACTTATGAAGACAATTTTCCAGTGTATGACCTGCTATGTTAGAAATTTGATCCTGCCTTTATTGTCTGGAGTACAATAATGCTTTAATGCAGGCTGGCCTCTGGCTGAGTTTCTGCATGTGTGCTGGGTCTATAACTGTTTGATCCAGACAGACCTTTGTCAACCTCTGTACCAGTAATTGAGAAAGAGTTGTCTAGGGTTTTTTTAGACACAGTAACTATACAAAGAGTTGCAGCTGTCATAGGCTTATATATAGTAAATGGCTTTGTATCTCAGGCACAATATATATTTTTGTATTTTTCTAAAACCACATTATAGATGGTTGGTTCTTATTCAATTAGATGAGATGTTTTGTTCATTTCTACTTGTTGCTGATTGAGAGGCAGGTACAGTGAAGGTGAAATATAGTACATGCAGTATTTTAAGAACAGCCCCAAACTTTGTTCCAGGTGGATTGTGAATTTTTTTTTTACAGTGCAAATGAGCCACACAAAGACTACAATAAAATAGGTCTATATTTTTTTGATCTGTTGATATGTTCCCTCAGTTGAGTACATACTGTAAGCCAGTTTATTTGCCTACAGTTTTGGAAGTGTTTAAAGAAGCCCCGCTCCAGTATGTGCTGTTTTTAGATGCTTTACATGACAGTTTTACTTTATTAAGAAGTGATTTTGGCTGTGTTTTGCTTGTGCTGGCACTGCTGTGTGTGTGTGTGTGTGTGTGTGTGTGTCTTGTGCAAATGCCAAGGGAGGATTTCGGTCCCAGCTGCTGTGCACTGGGACTTGGCCTGGAGCCTGAAGACACACCCATGTCAGCAT